GAGTAAGATTTGACAAGGATGGGAGAAACTTCCATTTCTGCTGCCCTGGTGGAGAGAGAGAGAGAGAGAGAGAGGACTTCACTCTCCAGGCTTAACTGAGTAACATCTTTCATGAACGTCTTTCATGAAGTTCTTGTGAAAAGTTAGAAGGAAAAATGGTTCTTTAAAGTTTTTTTGAGGACTTCTGAAAGATGTTTCTTTTATAATTCATTTGTTTCATTCATTTGATTCATGAAAGCACTTAAGCATGTGCTTAACTGTAAGTAGGTGAGCAGTCCAATTTTAAGTCACTTGGACTTAGATGCTTAAAGTTAAACATGTGATTAAGTGCTTTGATAAACTGAGGCTTTGGGGGAGGAAATAAGGATGGCCACCTTTAAGGAGAGGAGGCATGGCATTGTCAAAACCTCGCGTCTATACTATTGGGATTATAGATTTAGCTTTATTAATGCTTTGATGGGGTGGGACAAAACAGTCTTTAGATTCCATTGCAATCTATGGTCAGCCACAAGTGTCCCTTGTCATATAGCTCATTGTTATCAGATGGTTTAGGTATTCTTAAATTGTGACTAGGCTCTCACATTATTGATGTCTGTGAATTAGTGCTGTGTAATTTGGGTTTAAATATCCCCTGGTAGGACCCAAAATTGATCCCTAATTTCCCCTGGAGCATTTCATCATTTGGTCCTTCTGTGAGTAATGGATGGACAGTTTTAGACATTACATGCCTTTGGTGTTAGGCATGCCACCTAGTTATTTAAAGGAAGCAGCTTTAAATCATTTGAAGAACTTCAGGCCATAGAAAAGCCTTAGATGAAAAGTTTCTATAATCATTTGTAGTTTTGGGAACGGGTGACAAGCATTACCTTTAGGAAAAAGGAAATCTGTGATGTTTGTATAGAATGACTGACTGCCAGGCTCCATTAGAGGACAAGCAAATTCTTCTAAGGGTAAAAATTAAGGCTTATACATTTTGACATTAAATACGGGAGCGGCGCAGACCCACGCTTGGGATTTTGGCTTTACAACATGGAAACCAAGGCTGGTTGAAATTGGGGTCCCGATTTACCAACCCTTCCCATTTCCTCAACTTCACTGAGATTTGGCTAAATGGTTCCACTTTTGTCCATCTCAGTTTGAAAGCGAGATGTGTCTTGTTTTGATTTTGTAAAACCCGAACCTGTGTTTGTTTAACCCAAATTAGGAAAGCTGAATAGGGAAATGGACTTCAGATAAATGATTCTGGATTCATACCTATCTTTCTCAAATCCTGTAGGTATATTGTTTGCCTTGCTGATAGTTGTGCTAACCAGTCAATTTAACCAGTGTGAGAATATATTTTTCTCTCTGATTATAATGTGTGCTGTGTAGTTGATACACTGATATCAAGTGAGTGTAATTTCCTCTTATTTTATCTCCACTGCACAGTATTATAAATAAACAGTTAAAAAAAATAAAGAAGAAAAGCACCAAACAAATCTGTTGCATCTCGTTTTAAGATTGTACCACTGTAGACACTTGTTCTAGTAAAGTAGAATTGGACCCACTTGATTGCATTTAAATTTTTCATGCTTCAGCAGTTTGGCTAGGAGCACAGTAAAGAAAAACCCCACGAGCGAGGATAGTTTAGAATAATAGAACTTGATTTTGTGTATTATAGCGGCACCATTTGCGCTGCTTTAGTTAGGGTTGTGTCAGCACTTCCATTATAAACCCCTGTTTTCAGGGGTTATAACTAGGGAGACTTTTTTTGAACAGACATTAAAAAAAATCATTTGACTGATTTTAATTTATAACAGAGCAAAAATAAAATAAGGTAAAATGGAAATTAGCAACGTTGAGTCACCTTTTACATGTCTAATTAATTTTTACTACTGAAATGGTAACCCTTACCCTTACTAAGGACTATGGTAAGTTAGTTTTGAATATTTTAAGTTTAAAATTGCAAAATTATTAATATTTAAAAATAAGCTACCCATAATATTTGTCAACATTTATTTTAGCAGAACAGCTTGTTTTGTGGATCGATGGGACAATAACTAAGGATTAATCTGATGGGCTATTTCAGTGGGAGTATTTGATCATACTCCTTGGAAATTATGGGTTAAATTCAGCCTTTGGTTAGAGGCTGATCTCGCAGTCTTCCATGTGCAGAACTCCTACTGAGGTAAACAGGAGTTTCCCATGGATAGGGCTGGCAGGAATTGGCCCTTACACCTGAGTATTCCTGTTTAATATAGTGGAGAAAAAGGTAACTTAAACTTGCAGGGAGGGGTTGATGGCTATAGGTATGTAGGACTGTATCTGTGTTAGTATATTTTAGAGATGGCACATTCTCTCCCTTTCTATAAATAATTAACTTAAATTATCTATAATATATTTTGTGTGTGTGTGTGTGTGTATATATATATAATAACAGAAAAAATATTTTTCTACTGTACTATATTACAAGTAGGTAGCTTTACTGAATGGTCACTTGAGGAATTACAAAAGCCTATTTATGAAATAGAGGTGAAGCCTTTCTAGACTAATTATATTCAGTATGTAATTTCTAAACTTCACTCTGAATTTTGATTTTCAATTAACATTCCCAATTTGAAGATAATTTTCTATTTAATGTAATTGCAGGAAATAATTTATTGGCTGATTAAGACTGGGGGCCCAGCCTTCCTTAGGAAAACACTCCCTAACAACCAGCCTTTAAAGCCAACTCATAGCTTTGGACAGATTTAGCCTATTTTCACAGCTGCACAGTTGTGTTTAATTAAGATTGTGCACTATTTTTCATTGGTGCAATTTGTACTTGAAATTATTCTTAAGAGACATTTTCATTTCTGGTTTTGTGTCATGATTAATTTATACTGAAAAAACAACCATAGCTATTGCTATTGGAGGAAGCCAGTTCAGTTTATAACAGGAATGGTGTTTGTTAAGGAGGTGAAGTCAATGCAATTTGTGACTTTCACTTTTAAATGCAAATTGTGACTTTCAGTTTTAAATGCACAGTTTATAAATTGTATGAAACTATAGTAAATGTATTATGTTGTCATGCAAACGAGTAAATTAACATGATGATTGTAATCAGAAATATAGAAATACATCTCTCAATGTATCTTAACCTTTTCATTATCTTAGGTCACATAATTATGAACCAGAACCTCTTGAAATACCTGTAACAATAATAGTTTCTGAACTCTCCGCTTGTTATGTGCACCGTAAACATGTATTCTTTAGTGCAGTATGAATGTTATATTCACTCAATTCTACTCATTGACAACTTCAATACTCTTAAAGGAAATGCAAACCTTTATCCCCTCCCCCACCACTAGTATCAAGTTGAGGCAGGATTATCATTATTTATAGAATGGTTATTCTAAATAGGTATCAGCATTTTAATATGTATCAAAGCACTTCAAAAGCTTGTAATACTTTTATTTAGAACTGTGCATAATTAGATTAGCTGTTCCTATATTAATTTTTTTTTCACTGTAGAATACTAAATCTGAGCCCCCTCATTAATTGTGAGAAATTTAGCATTAGCTGTTAAATCCTATGTGAAACATGGGCTGCTACATAAAAAGTACTGTTTAAATTGGAATTAACTTAATTATTTTTCTTTGCACTTGATATTTCCTTCACTGTAATATTCATGAAAGCATGTGACACATTTGTAAATTTAACTGTTAGTCTCAGATTTCCAGACCCTTTAATCAGTATTTATTTGTCTGTAGAAACAGTACTAGTGAGTTAATGATTTGCTAATTTGAAAAATGCTCATGTGGTTTCCTATGTTAACTGATTTGTGCATTTTTAAAGAAATGGTATGAAATCAATTATTGCTAAAGAGCAATTAAGGTGGAGATCTTATTCCTTAGTTCCAAAGCATTTTCAGTCTTACAGATATTATAAAGTTACTAAAAACTGTAAAAAAAAAACTAATATAATTTAGATATCTGCTTTGACAGTTGTGGTTATTTTCACTAGAAATTTTTATAAAGTGGTTTAAAATTTTGAATTGACATAATTTATATTTTAATTTAAGTAACATAAACTGTGGCAAAGCTGTGTTTGCATATAGAGTGGCATTAAGAAGCTATTATTAGGAAAATGCCCTTTTAAATAAATATATTTATTTATTACAACTCGACACTCAGATTTAACTGAATTCTTTCAAATGCTTTGTATCTTGTATTCAATATCTAATAAAGATAGAAATATAATTATTTCAGGCACTTAAGTCAAACTGCAGAAGATTGCCTCAAGACTAATCATACATTATCAGTCATTCGTTCAATAAGCCACTTACAGTTTTATAGCACCCTTCAAGTGACTATCTCAGAGCCCTTTCCAAAAGGTAAAACTGGATGCAATTTAAAACCGGTTCAGAGACGGTAAAGCTTTAAACAAACAAATCATAGTACTTCTTTGGAACAGCTTGGCTAATGACTTAGAAAGTCTCATCTGTGAAGAAAACAAATTCCACATGCAGGGGACAAAGTAAGCAAAGGATCCAATCATGCAAACCCTCATTCATATGAGTACTCCTTATTTACGCAAGTAATCCCATTGAAGTCAACTGAAGGCAGTAGGACTGTTCATGGGAGTAAAAGTTTAGTGGACTTGGCTCACAGACACAATTAACAGAATATACATGTCCAGAAGAGTCATCATTCTCTTAAGGCTGGAGAAAATGATACCATCTTACAAGTGTGTGTAAATGGAATGACATAGGATAAGTCAATACCATGTTTCATTTGGAGCCCTTTATCACAGAACTGAAATGTTCTGAGCTTCTGAAGAACTTGTTAAATGAGCAAGGATCTAGATCCTCTAAACCCTTAGTCCTGCAAGTAGTCCTATTGATTACAGTGGGATTACCTAAATGAGAAAGGACTACTCATGTACATAAGGGTCTGCCTCCAATTTTCATGTTTTGATCGATAGCTTCGTCCATGTACTCAATAGTAAAATCTTATGTCCTGCCCTCTTTTGTTCTGCAGAAGAATGTCTTCCAAGCAGGCCACCTCTCCATTTGCCTGTGCAGCTGATGGAGAGGAAGCAATGACCCAGGATTTAGCATCACGAGACAAGGAAGAGGGCAACAATGATCATCACGTGGCCTCCCATCTGCCTCTACACACCCTAATGCACAACAAACCTCACTCAGAGGAGCTACCGACTCTGGTCACCACCATCCAACAAGACGCCGACTGGGACAGTGTTATCTCAGCCCAGCATAGAATGGTAAGTTTCCCATTTACATGCAGCTTTTTGAATTTAGTATTTCAGAAGATTCCTCACCTCTCATTTAGAAGGGCCTATTCTGTGCAACCCTTCATAGATGTGAAACTTTCTAATTGGTAAGATGCCAGGCATAGTACTCAATCAACATCAATATGGAATAATTATAAATTATAATTGTATAATCTTGTTAAGTATACAGGTCTATATGAATGAGATCATATGATGAGTTCACCTTCAGGAGGGAAATGCATCTATTTATCATGTTTCCAGTCATCACCTGATTTATGTCATAACCTCTTTAGCTCATATATTTGCGCATTAATTTCAGTAAGAAGAGTGTAGCTCATAACTGTCCGTCATCTAATTGGGCTACAGGAGCTGTTGAAGGCAGAAAGAAACTTTAATGTGTTTCTAAAGAAGGGCCTTCCCTTGTCTACAGTGCATATTCAACTTCAAATAATAAATTTGATATTAATTTTCTCTCTGAAACCCACCAAAGTGAGAACATTCATAGTCTGACACTGGAACACAGAGGCTAACATCTGGGCTGATACCACAACTCATTATGTTTATTGGAAATGGTAGCCTTTTGTGAAGGGCAAATAGTTTGAGATTGTTAACTGCATATCAAGCCTTTTGTGCTCTAGATCACCAGTTCAAATACAAACAAGGTTAGCAGTGACCGAAAGTTGTTACTGCCTGATATTTGTTCAGTGGTTTATATGAGATGAGTTTGGAGTCGTCTATCCCATTGGACAGACATCCATGTGACAAAAACACCATTACGATTGAAACTAACTGGGAGTCTCAACAGAGCTGCCAAAAACTGAATGCACATGGAGATTCAATGAACTTCTTACCTGTGTATTTGCCCATGCTGAGCAGAATCAAGGCATGTGGACTGGATATTTGCTTCTGACTGTATCTGTTCTGTGGATGGAGAACTCTGGTTTTCAAACCAGCACCTTTCACAAGCACTAAATTCACACAAATAAGCTAAAGTGAAATGCCTGCCTTTTCTTTGCGCTTGTGAGTTTGTCAGATCTATAAAATCAGATATTTTAATTAAGAATTATTTTTTTCATTAAGTTTGAAAACTAAGTACTACCATCACCATAATACATTTAAAAACTCATCAATAATAATACATTTATTTCTTAGTTAGGTTAGAAACATAATGATAGTGATATATCCTATACAGATATTGGGAGACTTAAATCATTCATATGTTTGATCCTGGGAATGAAGGAACTAAATATATGCTAAGTATTTCTGTAGTATTAATAACACTTATTAAATTAATTGGGATGACTCAGATTATATAAATAGAGCAGGAAAATGATGTCTAAGCAATAAGCCACAAATTGAGTCTGTGCATAACTCATTGCAAGATCAGGGTTTAGAAAGTCATCAAGAGTTTGATGCTTCAGTTGCGAAACAGACAAAAGTCCCCTTGATTTCAATTGAAATTATGTGTGATATTTTCTGTTGTTTGAAAAGATAGACCAGAATGGTCGTAGAGCACATATATCTGTATATAATTATCCAGGTAATGGCTGTTATAGAAAATTCCTAGATATTGGAATAGAGCCTCATTTTAATTGCATATATGTGCTCAAGACATTCAATAATTAACATATCACAGTAATTCTCAGTTAGTTCCATTTTATAGACAAGGAAACTGAGACACAGCTAGGTTGACCAGATATGTTGAAAAAAAGATGACTATGAGTCAGAAGCTGGGAATGGGCATCAGGGGATGGATCACTTGATGATTATCTATTCTGTTCATTCCCTCTGGGGCACCTGGCATTGGCCACTGTCAGAAGACAGGATACTGGGCTAGATGGACTTTTGGTGTGACCCAGTGTGGCTGTTCTTATGTTCTTATGAGCCATTCCCACCCATTCCAGAGTGGGGCATACGCGCAATGGGAGTCGCAGCCTCAGGGCAGCAGTAGCAGTCATGGAGTGACTCTGTCATCTGGGAGGAAGGAATTCTCAACCTTCCTTGAATTCCCCAGGGCACAGGCAATATACTCAGGCTGTGTGCTGAGAAATATATTAGTATCTCAGTCAAAATCAAACATCCTGCTCGTGCACAGTAATTTAAAACGATTTTACATTTATAATGGCAAAATGTAATTTCCATTTTCTCTCTTTTGGAATGATACACTTTCATGCCAACATTTGCTGTACCTCTGAGGAGACTGAACAGCCACAAGTCGCTCTCCTGCCTATCATGTTTCAGAAACAGGTGCATGAACTTTGCTTGAGTGACTTGGCATTCTGGTTTTCCTCCCTTGTTTCCGAAAATACTACATCATACAGTTCGATAAAGTTCCTGAAAATCATTAGTTGGTCCCACAACTCCCTTGGGTCAAATCCAGCAATCTTTATTCAGGCACAGCTCAGCTGAATCAGTGGGAACTTTTGCCTAAGAAAGACTAGGTATAACTTAAGTGGTTTGGCCACAAGTGAAAATTGAAGTTCTAAGGCTTTAGATCAGGTCAGTTGAATTTAAAACAAACACAACAATGATGCCTCAGCTGATCTACTGTGGAACCAGAGACAGCTTAGGGAACATTACTTTGATGATTGTAACATAGAAGTTGTGAAAAATCTTCAGTTTTTTAAAATAATTGTTACAACGTGAAGCTGTCACTCAGAACAACTTATTTAATATTTTTGACAAAGAGCTAAATTCTGCCATGGGTCCTTATGTGCAAATCTCGTTTACTCCTTTTAGTTGTCTCTGTTTGTTTGAAACACCCCAACTTGCTAGCAGTTGCTGATCTTGCTGGGAAAAGGTTAAGAGAGTTCTAATAACTCACCAATACAGGTGGCTGCTTACTCCAGCTCCTTATATCAGGATTGAGTGACTCTCTAGAGAAAGGATGGGGATGGGCTGAGCAGTTATGAGATAGAAACTGTAGGAGCTGCTAAACCTGGGGAAATTGCTTGAGCTGCATGCTGCTAATTTCTTTGTTAATAAAACCGAACTCCATGAAAGACAGTCAGTTTTTGACTTCAGAGTGTTGACTATGTTGTAAAGCAGGTTGGGAAAGGCACCTGCTTACACCCTTTTACTCTGAAAAAGACAGTGGTGCTGGGGTTAAAATGCACCATTAACATGCCTTGTCTGGTTATAAGGTGGTAAATTCAACAGGTATTGCATCCATATATATAAAGGAAGAATTTGGCTTTTAGTGTGTTATCGAATTAAGTATCTTTGTACTCTCAAGACTCCCAAAGATCTGTGGGAATTTTGGTATTTACAGTATACAGTATGCAGCCCTGTGCAGAGATGAGGGCTATATGGCTCTTTGGTGAAAATAGATATTGCAATATGAAAATTTGTCTAAGAAAATATCGAAGAAGTTGTTTCCAGTATTTATTGAATGCAACACTTTCTGTAACATAATATACCTTTTAAACAACATTTTGCATTATCATTTAAAAAAAAAAACTCATGCTGGCTAGAAATGTTTTCAAACTTTCACTCCCTTTTGATATCAGGCATTGCTTTCCACTGAGTCCTTTGTGTATTCTGAATGTCTGGAAGCCAAAATATTTTGTTTTAACTCCCACTCTATAGTATTTCCCAGCTGTGTACTTATATGGTGTAATAAAAGGATTTAACAAATGAAAAATAGCAGCTGCATTTGGAGATTCCCTTTGTGCTCCCTTTTCATTTGACAGATTCAGCAATGTGTAACAACTGTAACGTCAGACCTGTAATGACTTACACTACAAGTATCATATCACCCACCAATTTGATTTTACAGAGGGGGGTGAGGGGGAATTGAACTATAGAAGGATTTGGTCCTGCAATGTTCCATTGCAGAGCTGGAGACATTATCACTATATTTCTAACTTTAACTTAAAATAAAAATTGCTGGAGGTGTGGATATTTATTTCTTTTGATAAATCTGCTAGCAGAAAACATTGTTCCTATGTGAAGGGCTAAATTCTCCCTTTCTGGGGAAAAACAAACAAACAAAAAACCCGAACAACCCCCACCCCCAAACTTAGGGAATGGGGAAAAATTACAAAAATTGTGCGGGCTTGAAGGTACAGAAGTCACACTGCATTCTCCCATGTGGGAGGGATTAGCAAGCGGGACATATAAAGCTTGTAAACTGCATTGAAAAATGATTTCCTTCTGGAAACTAATTAGGAACAGTTGGTGATAGAGGATGGGGAGGAGTGAGAGGAAGACCATAGTGTTAAATATTGTAGCTAGATTTAAAAAGTAGCTGGATAATTTTATGACCAATATTTGTACTGGTAGTTAGCCATGTTAAAAAAGTGGTAATCATGATTCACACTTCATTCACTGCAGGGGCCAGGAAACAATTCCCTCTCCTGTACACCCACTCCCATGTAGAGCCTTGAGCAATTTACCCAGGTCGGTTATGAGACTTTTATCCTTAATCTGAAGTATCAGGTATAGGCAGTGTCAGTGACAGGCCACAAGACTAGATGAACAAATGGTCTGATCCACTATGACAAATTGTATGGTATGTTCCCATGAGTCTAAGTATTAGAGTTGGGCCTGTAGTGGGATTCTAAATTCACACACCTTTAACTGAATTAAATCTGGAGTCGGACTTCATGTTGCAGGATCTTCTCTGCTAAATACATGTGGGAGGAGAACAAAGGGACAGATTCTGATGCCTATATGACACTGTAGTGGTGCATAGGGTCTGTAAAGGAGCAGTAATGGCCCTGGGGAGAATTCCCCCTTCACAGGAGCTACTCTCTCCCCAGTCCTTGCAGCACCTGCTGGAGAGGCATGGCAGGGGAGGGACTGAGACAAGTTGTGCCAGGAGCAGGGGGTGGGGAGTGCCATAGCATTTTGCACTACAGCTGTGCGGGTAGCCCATAGGAAATCATGGGGAGACCAGCTACTGGGGCTACTGTTTTATGCAGGGAGCTATATTGGCCTCTGGAGCAGACAGAATCTGAGAGAATGATAGCTCAGTGGTTTGAGCATTG